ACATACTGCTGTCACCCCCCAAACACGGACATTTTGGAGCCAAGCCGCCCGTCAGGGTTACCATTTGCTTGTGTCGCTGGTTCGGCCCTGGTTCATATTGGAACCCATTTGTTTTGAATCAGTTCTCCGGACTCTTGGTTTTTTGCCAAGTATTTTTTTTTGGGTTTGACCCCGGCTCCGAAGCCCAGTCCAGCAGTCAAAACTCGACCTTCTAGCAGTAAATGCGCTTGTGGTCGCAACAGTCTCGATTGCTATCGCAAATCCAGTGCAAATCCGTCCACTTCGTCCTCGCTGCAACTTTTGGGGCAAGTTGGGGGGGAAGGAGGGGTGGAAGGATGAAGGAGGAGCTTGCATATATTAATTTTCAGGGTGGATTGACATTGTTGTGCTCTGTGTACTTGAGCTGCTTGTCAGCAGTGGTGTTCAATGGCAATGTGGCGTTCACAGGCGATGGGGTGCTCGCACTCACATTGGTGCTCGGGCGTTACTGGACTCGGGAGGTGTTGATCTGGCTCCGAGGCCCAATCCAGCAGTCAAGACATGGCCTTCGAGCAGCAAATGCGCGCGTGGTCGCAACAGTCTCAGTTCCTATCGCAAATCCAATACATTCTGATGCACTTTGTCCTCGCTGCAACATTTGGGACATGTTGGAGGGAGGAGGGGTGGAAGGAGGAGGATGGAGCTTGCATCGATCAACTTTCAGGGCTTATCGATGTTTTTGTGCTCTGCGTGCCTGGTGTTCACTGGCAAAGTCCCGGTAGTGTGTTCAGAGTCACATTGGTGCTGAGGCTTTGTTGGACTCAGGCAGTGTTGATCCAGCTCAGGCCGAATCCAAGAGGTAGACGACTCTCTTGGAAGAAATGCGCGCGCGGTCGAACAGTCTCGATTCCCAGCGCAAATCCAATACACATTCGTCCAGTGTGTCCTCGCTGCAACTTTTGGGCCGAACTGGAGGGAGGAGGGGTGGAAGGATAAGGGAGGAGCTTGGCGACGTTGTGTCCACAGGCATCTGGGTGCGCTCACTGTCACTGTGGTGCTCAGGCGCTGCTGGGCCCAAGTAGCACAGATTGTATATCGGTGCAGCCAGCTCCACATGACAACGACGCCGATGGAAACACCCCCTCATGCCACAACAGTGTGTGGATGCATCGTAGCCATTACATCGGTCACGCCAAAAAAGGGCAAAACTTTGATCACGCCCATGTAGGGTTAAGTCGGGCCTGTCCCTCTACAGGAGGAATCTCTAAAAATACCCAAAAATTGTCGGTGGACGGTTTTTCTAGTGTTCTGAGCAATTTTCGTTTTGTTTCTAGTTGTTTAAACAAAATATATTTTTGATTTTCCGTTCAAAGCCCGCCTGTAGGGGGACATGCCCGACCTGAACATAGGGATCCACACAGACGCCCCCCCCCCCTCCCACGCAGACACATACGGTCGGGGACTCTTGGATATCGTGCCGCTCCGCCGGTCTTGGCCCACAACTCTCCGGGGCGACGCGCCGTCCACTTCTCGGCCCCCGGGCGTCAGCGTCTCGCGTTTTTTTTTCCGAGCCCCCCGCCCCGCGGGGCGAAGCGACGGGCTATCCGCTCGCAGGGCATGGCGTGTCGCCTGGGCCGCCGCAGCGACGCGCTAAGCAACAAACAGGTTCCGACCATAGGTTTCGATAGGGCTCCATGCACACGCTTCGACGGAAAGGCCCCACTCATTGGGTTTCGCGCGCGCATCGGATTCTGTGCGCGCAGGGCTCCACGCGCAGGCGTCGCCGGTATCGCGGCGGTCATGCTGAATTTGTGCCAGCCCTCCTCTTCCCAGCCCTCCTTTGGTTGGTTTCTCGTTTCGAACAGAGCAGTGTGGGCCCCACAGAGGGCTCATTTCTAATTCGGTGTAATTGCAATTCCAGTCTGCGGCCTTGAGCGGGTCTCATTTGTAATTCGCCAGAGAGATTAGAAATGAGCAGCGCTCAAAGGTTGAACTCCTTGAAACTGGGCGCACGAAGATACCTCCGTCGGCGTTTCACGCTCGGGTGATGCGATGGGCAGGATAACGACGACAGCAACGCCAACGATGATAATGACCCAGCGTTGGTCGCCCGTCGCAGACAATATCACCAGAGGCAAGCCTTGGCGCGCCCTCCTGAGACGCGTCTTTGGTCCTGTCGGAGGGTCGTGACCTCGAAAGCGAGAGCCCGGTGCAATTTACGAGAGATCGTAGCCTAGAAGGTGCGGACATCTCGTACTTTACGAGGGGTCGAATCCTCGGTGGCAAGAACACCTGGTTATTCTCCTGGCATCAACATCTGATGCCGCGGGCGGCCCTGCCATCAAAATCTACTGCCGCCAGGGACCGTGGCATCAAAATCTGATGCCGCGGGCGCTCCTGGCATCAAAATCTGATGCCGCCAGCGGCCCTGCCATGAAAATCTGCTGCCGCCAGCGGCCCTGCCATCAAAATCTGCTGCCGCCAGCGGCCCTGCTGCTGCTGCTGCTGCTGCTGCTGCTGCTGCTCCTCCTCCTCCTCCTCCTCCTCTTTCTCCTCCTCCTCCTCCTCCTCCTCCTCCTCCTCCTCCTCCTCCTCCTCCACCCCCTCGCGGGCATCAGATTTTGATGCTGGGGCCGTTGCAGCATCATATTTTGATGCCAGGAGCCTCGGGCGGCCGCCCGCGTCATCAGATTTCGATGCCTGCAGGGCTGCTATCGGAATTTGATTTTGACGACTGGGCCGTCGCGGCAACAGACTTTTGATGCCAGGGTGCCCCCACGGCATCAGATTTTTGATGCTGGGGCCCCTGGCGGCATCAGATTTCGATGCCGGGCCCCTGGCGGCATCAGATTTTGATGCTGGGGCCCCTGGCGACAGCAGATTTCGATGCCTGGGCCCGTGGCGGCATCACAGCCCCTGGCGGCATCACAGCCCCTGGCGGCATCAGGTTTTGATGCCGGGACCCTTGGCGGCAGCAGATTTCGATGCCGGGGCCCCTGGCGGCATCAGCTTATGATGCCGGGGCCCCTGGCGGCATCAGATTTTGATGCCGGGGCCCCTGGCGGCATCAGATTTCGATGCCAGGGCCGCTGGCGGCCTCAGATTTTGATGCGGGGGCCCCTGGCGGCCTCAGATTTTGATGCCGGGACCCTTGGCGCCATCAGATTTTGATGCCGGGGCCCCTGGCGGCCTGAGATTTTGATGCTGGGGCCCCTGGCGGCATCAGATTTTGATGCCGGGGCCCGTGGCGGCAGCAAATTTTGATGCTGGGGCCCCTGGCGGCATAAGCTCATGATGCCGGGGCCCCTGGCGTCCTCAGAGTTTAATGCGGGGGGCGATGGCGGCATCAGATTTTGATGCAGGGGCCCCTGGCGGCATCAGATTTTGATGCCGGGGCCCCTTGCGGCAGCAGATTTTGATGCGGGGGCCCCTGGCTGCATCAGATTTTGATGCCGCGGCTCCTGGCGGCATCAGATTTCGATGCCAAGGGCCCCTGGCGGCCTCAGATTTTGATGCCTGGGCCCGTGGCGGCGGCATAGGTTCTGACCCCTGGGCCCCTGGCGGCATCAGATTTTGATGCCGGGGCCCGTGGCGGCAGCAGATTTTGATGCCGTGGCCCCTGGCGGCATCAGATTGTGATGCCGGGGCCCCTGGCGGCCTCAGATTTTGATGCTGGGGCCCCTGGCGCCATCAGATTTTGACGCGGGGGCCCCTGGCGGCATCAGATTTTGATGCCCAGGGTTCTTTGGCGGCGTCAGATTTTGATGCTGGGGCCACTGCGGCATCAGATTTTGATGCGGGGGTCCCTGGCGGCATCAGATTTTGATGCGGGGGCCCCTGGCGGCAAGTTTTGACGCCGGGGCGTCCGCCGCGTCAGATTTCGATGCCAAGGGCTTCTGGCGGCATCAGATTTCGATGCCAGGGCCGCTGGCGGCATCAGATTGCAGCTAGCAGGCGACACGCCTAGGAAGCAAGCGAGCAGGTCTTCATCACCTTTCATTTGCAACTCGCAGGAGGAATTAGAACTCAGCGGAATTAGAAATGAGAGGAATTAGAAGAGAGTCCTCTGCACCTTCTCCTACTGCCTCCCCTCTCCTCCCGCCTCCCCTCTCTCCTCTTCCTGTTTCCTCGGGTAGTCACTCGTCGTTGTCCTCTTTTCGACCGGCCTCTTTGTTGCCAACCCTCCTCGGGAGCCTTGAGACGGGGGTCACTGCAGACGGGGGTCAGCCAGAGCGCACGATCTTGCAGGATCCTGCAGGGCCAGGGGCGCATTGACCCGGGTGTATATCTTGTGGCTCCCCAGGGGGCTGCGACTTGCGCGTCTTTCATCATGCTCGTTTGTGCTGAGCGGGAGCGGGTCTGATTTTTGCCGCCCCGTGTTGGAAAAGGGTTGGGTACGTCACTGGGTAATTTCTCGGCCTCAACCAGTGGCAAAAAAGTCCTGGTTTTCCGATCGGCCCAGTCAAGACTGTTCCAACAAGCTTTTGTGGTTTGCGCGTTTTTTCCCTGGAGCATCTCTGGCTGAGGCTGTTCTGTTTCGACCCATCAGATTTAGTTCTACGGTCGGACCGAAGTATAAGATCTAGGTCAGTTCGGGGAGGGTGCTCTAGTGTACTTCGTGTTTCCTGGATTTTCTTGTGCATACTTGGGGGTGTACCCCTGGATGCTCTGTTTGTTTTGACCGACGGAGGGTCTCATGTTCTTGAGGGATGTTCTTCTGGCCTAGGTCCGACTGTAAGAACATTGCTGCGGTAGGTTCGTGTCGTGTCGACAGGCGGCGACCCCGCCAGCAGCGTTCAACTTTGAGCGCCGCGGGCGACCCAGAATCGTTCGATGTGGAACGATTTGGACGTTTCGGAAACGGCCGATCGTTCAAGGTTGAACGGTCCCCGCGGTGTCAGAAACCGACGCCGAAGTCGTCACGACACGAGCCTGACGTACGCTGCTTGTGTGATCGTAGTAAGTCCATAGGAGTACCGGGCCGGTCGGTCCTTGCTCAACGGCCGCAGCACCCCTCGCAGGCCAAGATGACGGATGGCCTCGGGGACGTGCCGCGCCTGTCGCAGGCCCTGCCCGCCGGGAGCGCGACCATCTCACGAGCGGCGACGATACAGTGCAGACCCATGCCAAGACGCACCCTGGTTGCCTCCAGGGTGCCCTGGGTTTCTTGGGTTTTTCGATGGTTTTGCTGTGGAAAGCGTGACGCTCCCACGCCAAAAATCAAGGGACGTCTTGGGCTCTCAGGGTGGGGTTTTTGTTGTGGAAGGTTTCTTTACCGTATCCGCGCCCTCGCGGTCTGGATTCCAGGGCACGATCCCGCGGATCGCGCCCTGGAAATCCAGGCCGCGAGGGCGCGGATAGTACCCGATACGGGGTTTGAGGATTTCTGGGCGTCTTCACTGCTTCTCGGTCTGAGGTGTTCGCGCGGGTTGGCGTCCTCTCCCGGCTCTCGCGCACGCCGTGCTTCGCAAAACGTCCAGAAGCATCTCAGTCTGAGGTTCGAGGTTTGAGAGGTTTTTCTGCGTTTTCACCCCCTCTCGGCAGCCTTCCAGCCTCGGGACGGCTTCCAGCGGCCAGGCGCTTCGCCGCCGGAGTCTTGGGGGTGCCTGGATCGTCCCGGGCGGCCGCCGGAGAGCCGAGGTATGACCCGAAAACCAGGGGGCACGGACCGTCGACAGTTGATGCATATGTCGAGCAGTGGCGAAGCGTCCCGGCTCGCCTATCCTACCAAGCAATGTTCTAAGAACCTTTTTCTGTGGTTTCCACGACATGTTCTTAGAACATTTCTGGCGGAGTCCGTTTTGTTTTATCGCATCGGGTTTATGTTCTAAGAACCTTGTTTTGGTTCTCAGAGCATTTTTGGATTCTAAGAACATTTCGTGGTAGGACTATAGGAATGCCGGGACGGTCGGTCCCTGCTCAAATATGTGTAGTCAGTTTTTTTCCTCTCTTCTTGTGTTAGCACGGATGAACCGGGCTTCGTTCATATGGTCTCTCCCTCTCTTGGCCCGGCTCGACAGCTCCGCGGGCCAACATCTTCACCTTGCCTGCCCGGACGGCCCCCTATCGCTTCTCCCCCCCCGGCTCGCCGCGGAGTCTACGTTTCACACTTCTGAGGCCACGGCCTCCACGCCATGCCTTACCGGGAGCGGGCGGGCTCCCCAAGGGAGCGCACACGACCCCAGCAGTGGGCTCGCTTCGCTTCGCTTCCTGGGTGCCTGTGAATGCCTGCTTGGGGCCTTTTGGGGCCCCTCTTGGGGGCGCTGGTGGCCCTCTTTGGCAGGTTTTGGGGGTCTTTTGGGCCGTTGCGGACGCTCTTGAGATCTACATGCCAGGTATGCGAACATGATACAGAAAGTGTTTGCTCTTCTATTAGTCTGGCCTCTTGGGTCAGCCTAGAGGCCCTCCAAGGCGTCCCAAGAGGCTCCTAACAGAACCACTAGAGTGGCTGTTGGGACCATCTGGGCAGTTTTGGATACAATTCTGTGGCCCTGGTTGGCAATTTGAGGAGTCTCTGGGGGCCAGAGGGGTCCTTGACGAGCTCGAAGGACCCCCCCCCTCGAACGGGATGTTAGACTCCCGGGGGGCGGGGGAGAAATGGGGAGGGGGACAGCCATGCATTGTACACGCTTGTTCGCCCCGGGCAAGTGGGGGTCGGCGGATCCTCCTGTGTTGCTTCCTTTTCTAAGAATAGAGTACCTGCAGTTCCTTGCTTCCTTCTCCCGTTCCTCTCTCTCTCTCTCTCTCGCTCTAGTTATCTTTCTTCTTTCCTCACTCTCCGTCCTCGCCCTTCTGGGCGCTGCCAAGTGTGCAACAGTCGCCATTTGGATCAGTCGCAATCTTGCTGCGCCGTATCTCGCTTCTACAGTATTAGAACTGTCGTGTGGAGGCGCAAGACGGCATACGAAGTTGGACCAACTGCGTGGGATTGCCCATCGCCTATGGCAGTCCCTGGTGCCTGTTGGTTTCGTTGGTTTCTGCGGCTCCCCTTGTCAGGCCCACCAGCAGACGAAGAAGAGCAAGGTCAATCAGGCTCTACGCGTGCTGTGGTCCATACAGAAGAAGGGAGGGCGCCTGACTTGGAAGCGCTCGCTGATCCACGCTCTGACAGCCGAGAATATTTGTGGCATTGCGCCGCGAAGGGGCACCGGGTGGGTGGACGGCGTCTCGCAATTTCAGGATACAGTCACCCCGCATGGTAAGCATGGTTAAGTGTCCAAGGTTACCCTTACATCCTTGCCCTTTCGGCCCATCCTTGGCGACTTCCGCCGGCAAAACTCTTTCGGAAAACGCTAACATGGCCCTCAAAGGCCCTTGCATCCTTACCGCACATCCTTATCATACGGGTTGGCTGTAAAGAGAAAATGAAACGGCAGTACCATTCACTCTCGAAGTTTCTCGTGGACTTCTTGGGTCAGCGCCGGGCCCGCCGATCCGAGAAATCCGCGCGACCTCGGAAATCCTCAAGGTTTTTTTTGTGTACACCATACCCTTCCCGTCACAGTCAGATCCCACCGCCCCTAGGGAGGGAATTGTGTATACCAGACCCACGACTAGGACCCTCGCCCGCCCGCCCCCCCAGGGGTTTTTGGGTACAGTATGCATTTTTTTCGTGCGGGCGAAAGCTCATGTTTACTCCGGCTTCTTTCTCACTCGCAGGCGAGTCAACGGTCGGGAACTGCTGCTCAGCGTGTGGTGCCGCGGGTTCTGGCCCACCTCCCGAGGATCAAGAGGTCATGATAATGATCCGTTCCGAGATTTTCAAGGTTCCCAGGTTTTTTACCCGTATTTCCTAATGCTCCACACGTGCTGCCAAAACGAGGGCCACCAGATACTCTGGACATCCTGGAACGTATCCTGAGCCAATATTATGATCACATCGTTGTCGTCCTAACTACGCCTCGGCGCGACACGCTGACCACGTCCCAGTCCCCAGGTATCAACGTTTCGAGCGCTTCCCTGCCGCCCGCTCCGCGGAGTGGAGCGACACGCCATCTGCTTGCGCGGCGCAGCGTGTCGCCGGGGCCGCCGCCGCGGCACGCTAACCCAGACATGCGATGCCTAAGTTTCGTCAATACGCTCAGATGAGAAACAGGTGCCGATGCCGCTACCGTCACCTTGACTTTTTTTTTGTGGGGGGGGGGGCCTCTTGGGAGGCCCCCGTTGCCATTGCTGTATTCGCCTCGAAATCCTGGTCAGAACGCACCCCAGGAGAGATCCGTGGAGTACCGGTATCGGTACCTGTTGGTTTCCTCACACGCGGTCCCTGGAAAACCCGACCCTTTTCCCAGGGCTGGTTTTTCATCGTGACTCGTTCTGTTGATGGCCCCGTGGCCCGCTGATGTCCCCCACATGCCGAACATTGAGAAAAAACACCCGCCCTGATTTTTCAGGACGCTGCATGTCTGGGAAGCAACAACTCCCAACCGTGCGACGCCCTAAGATCGGCGGCGAATGAGGGGGAGAAGTGAGAAGCAGCAGGCCTCCTCAGAGGTGGCGGGGCTTGTCAGAAGCGCTTTGGCCTTTGAGAAGTTGTCTGTGTCTTCGGGAGGTCCCAGAACAGTTCTCAGAGTGCCAGTGGACTTCCGAGCCTTCTGAGAAGGCCCGCCTTTTTGTTTTCCCCCCTGGGCTCGCCGCCGAGGGAAGCAACAGTTCCCAACCGTGCGACGCCCGAATCACGAGTTCCTGACCAGAAGGGAGCGGCCGCGGTGCCGCTGGGGGTGGGCTTCTGCCGCCCAGGGGGGCACGAGGCCCCGGGCCGCTCTTTGTGGGGCCTCGGACCCCGAGCGGCAGAGGTGGGCCCGGGCTTCTCCTGGCGAGGGGCGATGGGCCGATTCTCCACCACTACCATAACAAGGAGAGGGAGGAGGAGGAGGAGGAGGAGGAGGAGGAGGAGGAGGAGGAGGAGAAGGAGGAGGAGGAGGAGGAGGAGGAGGCGGAGGTAGGAGGAGGAGGAGGAGGAGGAGGAGGAGGAGGAGGAGGAGGAGGAGGAGGAGGAGGAGAAGGATGAGGAGGGGAGGAGTAGGAGGAGTAGGAGTAGGAG